ACAGAGGGATAGGGATAAAGAGGTGGTACAAAGCCCATTCTCCCTATTCTCCCCGATTTTGGGGTGCGATTTTTTGCACTTTCAGCTGGCACTTTGAATTGTGTTTGAAATTGGGGAAGCGAGAGGCCAGAATACCAGGACTAAAAACAAATAAAATGTGTGTGCATGCATTCCAAAATGCAATTGCTCAGCACCCCGTAAACCCCTTTTCTATTTGACAACATAACCTTTCTGCCTCCCCAAAAATCAATTGACAAAATGTCAAGTCTGTTTTATATCCTTTTGCAGTCAGAGTAGGTTCAGCAGGTTCTGATCTCAGGATCAAAAATACATCTAAGTTCTATTATTCATTTAAACATCATAAAATAAAACTAAATTTATCTTAGGACTTAGTATGAGACTTTTTGAGAACATTTAATATATGTACCCTATTTTTTTTACTTTTAGCAACATTGTATATCAATCATAGTGCTTTCAAGTGTGAGTATCAAATATATTTTCCCCAAATATAAATCCCCAACGTTAATTTTTTTTGTTGTAGGTTCCGGCTCATATTCCCTGCTCACTTTGCTGTTGGCTGCTGTGGAGGTTCTGTGTGTTTTTAGGTTCCGAATTTTCGGGTAGTTCTCATCCCAAAGTCCTTTCGTTTATCTCTGGCAGTTAAACAGCGTGGATGTGGCTGATATTTGCTGCTCTTTTTCGACTCCAACTCCCCATCCTTCTTCCCCTTATCCCTTTTCCCACCTTTCGTTTCCAATCCTGTTTGACTTTTGGCCTGCCTCTCATCCACCATTTCCCTTTCCATCGAAAAAGCTCAAGGTGCAACCAGAAATATATCGACTGCACGGAGAAAAATATTTTTAGATTATTTAAACAGTATAAGCATTCAATAAACCAAAAATCGTATTTTTTATAGTTTTGAAAGTTTGTTAATAAAAAAACAAATTATTAAAAAATTAAAAAAAATTTTTATACCACCGAAGTAAGGAATGTATGGCAAAGAGTAAAGGGAGGAAGCGACCCAAAAAAAACGAAGGATCAAGCCGAGATCAGCCAGCCGCTTCTGCCGTCGTCCGTCTGTCTGTCTGTAGAACGCGAGATCTCGGAAACTATAAAAGCTAGAAGATGACATTTCAGCAGATTCAGGAGTTCCTACGCAGCGCAAGTTTGTTCAAAAGGGTGCCACGCCCCTAACGCCCACAATCGCTATATACGATTTTAAAAATTTCAATATTTCGGAAAAGTAAAAATGCAGTTTAATGGTGTTTATCAATACCTATCGAAATGTAGATTAAATTTTTCAAATCGGACCATTCGTTAATAAGTTATGCGTGATCAACGTTTTCTATCTCTATCTCCATCTCCCTCGCACTCCCTTTACCTGAGTAACGGGTATCTGATAGTCGGGGCACCCGACTATAACGTTCTCTCTTGTTTTTTCTCAAAAACCCCTTCATTATTATCTTTAAGTTAAAAGGAATTTAATTAAAATATATTCTATTGCATTTTTAATATTAATTAAACTACTTATTTGGATGCTTTTAGATAATGAGTCATCTTTTATTTTTAAACACACTACCATGATAAATTGGTAAGGAAATAAATAAAAACAGAAAAGTAGGCTGATTTTTTCAGTGTCCGACTTTTGGTTTTGAAACAATTGCCCATACAATCTTCCTCTTTCTCTCTCTTTCCTCCGGCTTTTTGTTGCTATGCGAAAGGGGAGGAGTATAGCAAGGTGGTAGAGGGAGGGGTGGAGGAGGGAAAGGAGAGGTCGCAGCATTTGTCGCCATTTATTTACACGATTAGAAATCGATTTTGTGCGTTCCCATATAGAATTCCATATGAAATGACAGCCGAAACGAACAAATACATATACACGCAGACATACAGAAAAAGGTGGGTTTGGGTGGAGCAAGGGGGTGTGGAATAAAGGAGAGGGGTCGGTGTGGCATGTAAGGTCCCTCCTGTATGTGCCGTTATAATGATTTATGTTAAGCTTATTGCACACACACACACACACTTAGCCACACAAACAGAAGTCGAGGGTGTGTGCGACAGAGACAGAACCAAATCGAAATCGATTTGCGGGCAGAGGAAAAGCAGAGCGAAGAAGAAGCAGCAGCAGCCGAAATCGGCTAGCAGTAGCGACATCTGGCGGCGGGAACCTCTTTTAATTCTGGCCAAAAGGGAATCGGAAATGTAAAGGGGAAATTGGAATTAAACTAAGATGCGGGACTTAAATCAACACAGTTAACCGTTATTGGCTTAGTTTATTGATTGGCTTAAAGTGGAAAAAACTCGACAAAAAATTAAGTCTTTAGAAAATATGTTTCTTAAGATTTTTCAATAGATATTTTCAAGTCTTTTTATTGTATTATTCATTTATAAAATATACTATCCGAGCTATTAGGCGTAAATAGTAAAATAGATTATTCAGTGCCTAAAAATAATTGTATAATTCTAATCAGAAGCCATTTACCTTAGCACTACTTTTACGTTTGGTGTCGTTAACCAAATTTCTATATTTGAAATTCAGCCAACAAAAAAGCCAGCGGTGTTTATAAAGCAAACAACTGATGCGAAGCAAAGGCAAGAGCAGCAGAGGCAATTGATTAACAACTAAAAGTTCAACGCCGGCAATTAACATGCGAAGGGAAATAGCGAAATATGCCAAGAAGAGTAAAGAAAAGCAAAGGAGGTGGAAGTGGGGGAGGAGTGAAAAAATTCAGTCAAAAGAAGGGAGGGAGTACAGGGAAAAAGGGCCGAGGGAAAAGCGTATAAAACAAAATCTAAAGCCCAATCCACTTGCCATTTTTTTATACGTCTTGTTTTTTCTCTATGTTGTATACCCGTATTTCTGATGAACGTACACATGTGTGTGTGTTTGTGTCCGCGAACTCTAGTACGAAACTAGCCTGAAACCGCCGCCCCTTCACTCACCCCCTCCCCCACCCACTTTACAATTTATATACAACTCCAAGAGCAAAAGCAAAAGCCATTCGTGCGCAAATCTCAAATAAAAGCGCGCAGAACCAGCAACAACAAATAATAGCAGCAACAACAACAATAAACGACGCCGACTTCTCTGCCGCTGATGAATTGTGTTTGTGTGAGCCCAACACACACGGGCAGACAAACACACACACGCATAACACATGCGAGCAGGGCGGGCAAAAAAAGTTAAATAAAATAAAATACAATATGAGAGCAAAAAGAAAAATAAAAGAAAAAAATAATAAAGCAGAGGAATCGGTTTCGAGAGGTGAGTTGACTCCTCGAGGTGTCTTTGCCTCTGCCGCCGTCGCTGCCTCAGTCGCTGCCCCTGCATTTGTCATTGTATTCGTGCGGGGTACAGTGGAGATTCCCTTCATCGAATTAATTTATTTAGCTTTACTTTACATTTTATTTGAAAATTAATGGGATTGGGGATTGTTTCAGGTTTAGGTTAGATAACTAAGAAAACCAATCATGAAGATGGACTTTTTTTTTTCTTTGTATGGCATTTATAAATATGAATGTACATTCCTTACATTTGTACAAATAACTGCAAAAAGATTGGTTAAATAAATAATTTTGAAATCGTTTAACAAATAATTAATATTTCATCTCATAAGAAATATTTGATATCCATTTTTCTGTATATTGTTGAGGCCAATGACACAGTCAATTTTAGAACGTCAATTTATTGTAACCATTTTTCTTTAATAGGACTTTAAACGCCGAGACGAATAAAAAATTTTTTGGTTACTCTACCACTAACTCCAATAATAAGAGCGCGATATATTTTAGTCGGACTCGCTGGCACTTCTTTAAACTGACACATTTAAAAATGTACAAAATTTTATTAACTCTTTTTATAAAAGATAACTCACTTTGTTGGATGTTTCATCAACTTTTAAGACATTTTTTAACTTTTTTGTAATTCTAAAAATTTTCAGTTACTTTAAAATTAAATTTTGTTTAGGCCTCTCCTACCTTTATTGGCAAATCTAAATTTATCCCGAATCTTCTTAAAGTTGTCGTGGACAGAAGAAACGCTTTTTCCGACCAACTCAGTTGATATCCGTTACAATTTTCCGTTCGAAATTGAGTTTTCCAATCAACTGACAAAGTTCCACAAAGGATTGCTTTCCGTGGAGCGATTTTAACACTTTTTGGTAGTAAAATTATGATTTCTGCTCTTGATATCTATTACAAACAAATCTCAATGATAGAATTACAAAGCTTGTTCAGAGTTTATCCTTTGACTTCCTATCTACCTTATTGACTTTCTATCGATTACTTTGTATTTTTTATTTTTGTATAGAAAGGTGATAGTGGTAACAATAAATAAATAACCCATTTTTTTTGAAGAATTATTTTATAATTGTGCTTGTCCAATTATGCGACGGATCCACTGTACATATGTACGTACATTCATAGGTGCATACATATGTATTTAATGTATATGTATTTTTAATGTTTCCATTAAAATTAAATGTTTTTTATTTTTTAGTTTAGCATATGCTGGTTCCCCCAAATTGAGTCTCCACTTTATGTTGTATTTGCCCTGGCCAGCAATGTTTGTTTGGCTGTGTGTGTGCGTGTTGGCCGCGTCGTGTGCCACTGCTAGTGGCGTTTCCAGAGTTCGCTGCCTTCCATTGCTCACTGTCACCGCCGAAGTCAAGCCGAAATACAGCAAGAACAAGAACAACAAAGTCAGCAGCAGCGGCGGCAGCAACAACAACAAAACGTCTATGCACCATGTGGAACGAAATGAAATGGAATGAAGGACTGAAATCGGCGACGCTTCTTTTGCTTCATGTTCAGTTTTTTTTGCCCATTTTATTTGTTTGCGGTTAAAGGAGGGTGAGGACGGGGTGTGGGGTGATGAAAAGGGGAGGGGGTGCAATATCGAACTCTGCGGGAGTTATTTAGGGGTGCAATATACGTTTCCGTGGAAGGAAATATTACACTTTTGATTACATTTTATGTTTCTTGCTCTGTTTTTAACTCACCGCTTTTATTTGTTTTAACTGCTTATCGCTGATTGACTTCTCCTCTTTTTCGCTGCCCAATCATTTGTCACCCACTCACACAGACACACTCACACTTTATTAGCGATTTCTCGAACTTCTTTGCTCTTGATATTTCTCCTTAATTTTTTTTGCACACCCACACAAATACGATAATTTTCGCCGCAGGCGTTTTTCCTTTTTATTTATCCGCCTTTTCCTTGGCGATGATTTTCACACGAGTGTCACTGTTCCACCCGCACACGCGCAAATTTTCAGCGTTTCGCGAGGCTTTGCCAATTCACTTCAACTTTCTTTGTTTTTCGATTTCGGTTTAAAATTGATTAATTAAATGTGAATATTCAAAGGGACACGGCCGCCGCTCAAGAATCAATCATAATTGTTGTTTACTTTGTCCGCTGATGGATTAGATTTTTTTTTGAGTGGATCACGTCCAAACGCTCCGATAGACAAACTCTTTATGTTTTCGCTCTCCGTCTGCAGTTCTGCCCACCCTCTGCCGACGCGCGAGTGCGCGGGTGACTGTTAGCGGCCAGCAGAGCTATGTTAGCTAACAGAGGCGAGAGAGCGGAACAAAATGGAACTGAAACCAAATTTTGCAGTTGTAGTTGTAGGCTGGCACAAACAAAAAAAAAATCACACACACTCTTTTATCTATTAATCACTTAATAGTCATTGAAATTATTAAGAATTCAGCGGTTGTTTATTTTAAGCCTAAAAAGCTTAAACACCTTTTAATTGATAAATACTAAAAGTAACCAACTTGCTTCGCTTTGAAAGTACAGTTCCCAGGTTACTCTACCACCTGTCCACACACAGACATGACGGTCACTCACACACACACATCGCTTTTAGCCGTTTTCCTCCGCCGCTTACCAAATTGTCAATTCTTTATCAATTCGCCCGGTTAACCACTTAAACGAAATGCAAATCCAATTTCCAGTGCAGCGGGAAGGTCGGACAGCTGGTAAACTCGGCGGATTAAGCCATTTTACGCTGGTTTCCAAAAATTGTTGTTTAATTGGGTTGGCCTAATCGGATTTAAAAGAAATGCATATGTATGTTTCTACATTTGTATGTAGGTAAGAAAGATTTGAAAATTGTTAAAATATGTAAACCGTCTTTTTAGGTCCTTAAGTTAGTTTTTGGATACTTTTGGACCTCTATAATTAACCACGTTTCCTGAATCTATAAAATTAATATCATGAAGTATTTGAAGTTAAAAAGTTAAAATTTTTGTTTGTCATTCAAGTTGAAAGTTTAAACTTTAAATATCACTGGTATTATAACAGATATCCCATAAATTTTGTTTAATTAGACATCGGATTATATACAAAATTCGAAATACCCAATACATAATGGTAATGTTAAAATTGGGAAAACCTATTACTAAATAATTCGTAACAAAGATAGATAGATATTTTTCCAGATATAACCAAATGATTAAACATACTTACAGTGCAATGAAATCATTTCAATTATGGCTCTTTAAAATGGAAGAGAAAAAATCGTAAAAGCCATAGCAATTTAAATTTAAACCCCAGTGAGTTATCAATAACAAATATTCTCTTTAATGGTTAAGGCAATAATAAACTAAACTACCGGCTGGGCCTAGAAGTTGAACGTCAGCGGATGGACGGGGAAGTAGCCCTTGCTCTTGGTCAGCTGCTTGGAGAGTCGCACCAGGTTGTTGTCGTTGTTGACGAAATTGCCGCCGAAGACCTGCGTGCAGAGGGTGTGCACGCGGTCCCTGCCCTCCGAGCAAATGGCCGTGGCGGTGAGCAGTTCGTGGTCCGCCAGCGGCAGTCCAATGCAGTAGGATCGGGAGGCACGCGCCACGCTGGCCCACATGGCATATATGGTGGTGCCCACCTCCGCCAGGCGCTGCATTTCGCTCTGGCGCTCCACCACCGCATTCCCGTGACGGGTCAGCATCAGCTCCACGGCCATCTGGAGACGGGCCACCGAGTGCTCAATGCACTGGGCTGCCGCCTCCAGCGAGGGATGCACATGCTCCGACAGCTGCATCTTGGTCTTGGGATTGTCGATGTTGTTGGTGTCGAGGAACTTGCCGAATATGTGTCCGGGATTGAAGAGGGGATTCCTCGACTTTCGCACGCCCGCATTCATGGCTTGCTGGAAATATCACGTGCGTGAGTAACCTTTATTGAATTTTATCCATACCAAAAACTCACCCCCGCATGTTGTAATCCGGTGAGGGCAATGAACATGCCCAGCGTGTCCATTGATTCACCCTGCGTGCACAGCTGAGCCGCATCTCGCAGTCCCAGCTCCGTGGCCTCGCCGCTGAGCAGACTCTTGGGTCCCACGAGTCCCAGGTTCTGGGAGGCAATCTCGTATAGCTGCCGCAGGGTAAAGTACTTGGTAATCGCACTCTCCAACGTCACATCCTGGGCACGGAACTCGTCCAGCAGGCCGGCGGTCATGAAGAGCATGCTCTCCATCGCATAGACGGAACACATGGCTCGCGACAAGTGGACTCGGGTGAGCTCCAAATCCCTGTATTTAAATAAACACAAGTTGATTAATAAAGGAAATAATAAAAATGTATCTTAAGTTTAACATAAGTGGGTGCCAAAAATGTAAAAACAATATTTATAAAAACGTTTTACCTCCTCTTGTTTTATTTTTTCTTTTTTATAATAACCTTTTGAAATAGGTATTTGCTTATTTTATACATAGATATATTTTGTAAAATCGTAGTATTTTTATAAAAAGTTTAAAATTTAACATTACTAATTTTAAACTCTTTTATAATTTTCTGTATGACTTGCTGTTAAAAGCATATAAAAAATATAATATTTGAAGATGTTTAAGTTAAATAAAAATAAAAACCGTTTTTAATCAATAAGAGGATACATTTTTTGTTGATTTTTATCAGGGACCGTAAATAACAGTTATTTGTGATTTTTATTTTAAAAAGACTACTGCGATATTTGGTTTAAAACGTCAAAAATAACGTTCTTTTTACTCTTGTCCACAAAGTTTATGCATTTCAACAAATCTGGAAAGCAAATTAACTGTTATTTGTTCATGTCTATAAAGTGCATAAAAATCAGTTAAATTGTTGATTAAAACTTGTACAAATCTCAGTAGGCCTTTTAAAATAAAAATCACAAATAACTGTTATTTACGGTCCCTGATTTTTATCGTATTTGCTTATAATCTGAGACTTATAATTTATTTATTTTTCAGAATATCAAATTAAATTTTAAGGAACGATGAACATATACGCAAGTCTAATTGTAACTCTTTGATAATACTTTGGAGATACATTTTTAATATGACAGAAATTATCTTCAAGGGTATATAAACTTGAGCTTGCCAAAGTTAGCTTATTTTCTTCTTTTCTTGTGATCTTAAATCTTTTTTTATACTCACTTAAGTTGGACTCCACACTGAGTTGTGCTGACAGTGTACTGGGCCAGTTCGTTGAGCAGCTTCTTGGCCAGCGACACGCCCACCTGGCTTCCCCTGAAGCGGGAGGATCGCACCAGCTGCTCGGAGTACCGATTGCCGTCGTGCGGCAGGCCCACCACCTGATCGGCGCCCAGTTTCACTTGGTCGAAGTGCACCCGCCGGATCTCCGCCTGGCGACAGCCGAAGGTGGCATGCCTTTCACCCAGACGCACTCCCTCCTGCTGGGAGTCCACCAGGAAGATGGTGGTGCCACGACCCAGGGCACCGGGCACATTCGGCTGCTGCGTTTGGGCGAGGACCAGGAAAAGCTGACGCTCGCCGGGCGTGCAGACCACATAGGCCTTCTCGCCGTGGAGCAGCCACTTGCCGGTTTCCGGCAGCAGCTCCGCCTGGGTGCTGAAGTAGTCCTCCTCGGGCGGCGAGTACTCGTAGATGGCCTCGGTGGCTATCAGCTTGCCGGTGGCCAGATCCGGCAGGTATCTCTGCTGCTGCAGCGGAGTGCCCACTTCGTTCAGGAGATCCACAACCACGCGGTGGGTCTGCAGTCCCAGGGTTACATTGATATCCGTGGAATCGGGTTCACTGGCCATCAGACTGGCGCTCCAGCCGTAGCCCCGTCCCTCGTAGTCCGTGGGCACATTCAGGCCATAGAGTCCCAGCTGACGGAGGTTCTCGGGAGGATTAGGCTTCTCCTCCTCCGCTTCACGGGGCTCTTCGAAGTAATTCTTCAACGGGAGCAGCGCATTCTGCAGCTGGGCCATCTCGTCGCGGGCTATCACCTCCGGATAGGCCAGTAGCTCCTTGTCCACCACTCCGATGAAGAAGTTCTTGGCCAGCGGCTCACGGGTGGGCAATTTCTGTTGCTGCTCCGGCGACTCCTCCACGGATTCCGACTTCCCCGCCTCGGCGGTCGCATCATCCTGATGCTGCGCGTCCAGGCTGCTCGAGGTCGCCTTGCTGCTCTTTCCCCGAGTCAGCAGTTTTCCATTCCGGCCGTATTTCAAGAGCCGCGAGGCGCCGGAAAACCAGTTCAATCGCATATTTACCAAGAAATTGAACACAAGTCTTGTATAACAAACACGGCGGTATTTTATAGCGGTTACAATGCGGTCACACTGCCGCCGATAGGTTCAGACCATACATAATATCGATAGCGGTAAATTTGTTATACAAATGCCATAAAGCAGTGCAATGCAGTAAACCGTTCTAATTGCTATAACGGAGAACTGTCCGAATTGCTATAAAAATACGATGAAGCAGTGCTAACTGTTGGAATGGCCATAATATTTTGAAAATTTGACTTTGCTAGCCTAAACTAAAATAATCAATAAAAAAATAAGTAGAGAAAAGACGCATTTTAAAAGCAATAAACAGGAAAGAGCACAAGTATGTTTTAAATTGAAACAATAATAAACAGAAAATTATAAAAATAAAGCAGTGCTCAGCTCGTCTTGCTATAAAAATTGAAAATTATATCGTCTACTTTTGCTTATTAAAACGCCAAAATTTATTAGAAATAAGTAGAGCGTAAAAATTTAAATTGAATAAAAGTCACAACAGTAACAAGAAAAGAATTAAATACGAAAAAAGTTTTTTAATTTGAAAAAAAATTTGCGATAAAAAACTGTCCGAATTGCAATAAACATTCAATGAAGCAGTGCTCAGCTATTGCAATAAAAAATACGATGAAGCAGTGCTCAGCTATTCGACTTGCTATAAATTTTGAAAACTATAAACATAGAAACTAAGAAGTTATACCACAGTTTCAAGAAAGAGGAAGAAAAGAAGGCGCCCTGATTCAAAAATTGAAAAAATATTAACATCTTTTTAGCTTTAGAAAAATAAGGAAAACAATTAAGGAAAGATAAATAAATATAAATATATATAAAAAATTTTGTTTTTTGTTTAATCTAATTTTGCAGAGCCAAAATAAAATCATGTAGACTTATGCAGCTAGTTCTTCCAGGCCTTTAGAATTCTTCTAGCCTTCCAACAATTGATAAAGCGCACTTTTTATTAAGACATATTCGGGGGTGTCACAGAAATTATTTCCAACCGAAATCCGTTAAAGTTCTTACGTGCATCAATGCAAAATCCAACCGTCTTCGGTTGGAAGAGATTTCTGTGACACCCCTGATTAAAACAATTTCAAAAAATATATTTTTTTAGAAATTAAATTTTAAAATTCCGTATTCAAACCTCCCCCAACCCACAAATTAAAAACATACGTTCCCTTTATTGAATCATTGTATTGTATATTGGTGTTATTGTTACACATATAATTGCTATTGACAGCGCACATTAAGCTCTCTACTTAAAACAAATTGAACAAAGTAAATTGTATGATTCCCGATCGATGGGTTTAATATGCCCATCGACTTTGCTTTATTGTTTCGCTTGGTATTTTTTTTCGAGTTTTCCTCATTTTTTTCATTTCTAAATTTAATGTTTTACTTGTTTTCATACCACCTAGATTGAAAATTTGTTAATAGCTGTGTAGTACGTTGTTATACAATAGTTATAGTCAGGTATCAATTGAAAAATAAGAATTTGGTTAGAATTCAACACATCTAGATCCGTATAGTAGTCGTATTATAGAAGTACTCATGTGCTTGAAGTTGCCGAGGGGCCCATTTCTATAACCCCTCGATTGCATGGCGTGCAAATAAACTCCAAGCACCTATTGCATATGGAAAACAAAACAGAAAAACTTATCTGTGGTTTGTCAACAGAAAAAAAGGGCAACGACAATTGTATTTAACTAAAAACTCTATTAGAAATACCCCCCACTTGCAGCTCATATCGTATCACAGGCACGCTTAATAGACACTCTTAGAAACGGAAATACCAAATTAAAATCGAAACCAGAAGGTAAATTCATTTCAAACTTGCACTCAACGAAAGGCTTTGTTTCCTTGTTATAATTTATGTGGTTAAAAACACACTACACACTAACAACAACGATCGATATGAGCGCACTTCAACCTTGCTCCTCCGCCCAAAAACCCACTGCAAATCGCTAATTCCTCCACAAATTGCCTTTTAAATTGCTGACGCTACACGACGATTATACATATGGTACATAAATATATATTTCAATATATATATTGTATGTGATATCTGCATACGCGTATGCGTGTCCTATATACGTAGTTTTCTCCCTTGCATAGTTTTGTTTTTAGTATTGCTAATTGCTCCGCTCGCTCTTCTTCTTCTTCTTCCTAGTGTGGACCCCCAAAGATACAGATACAGATAGAGATACAATTGCAGTTACGGTTACGGATACAGATAGTTATGCCTGGCTGACCGATTCGTTTGCTTTCATATTCAACATTTTTTACTTTCGCAATGTTTTCACACACATTTTCCAGTAATTCAAATTCAAACTAAACAAATAGAACCTCCTGCGAGGTGGAATACCAAAGAATAAATTTTAAAGAAACTAAACTTAGGGATAAATTAAACGATAACTAGTAAAGCAGTTGGTTGGTTGTCACACAAACACACACACAGGAGTTTGTTTCGCCTCCTGCCCTCCGTTCTCGTCCTCGTCTCCTCTTGCTCCGTCGCCTACAACTGGTATCTGGGCCACTGCCAGAGATCCCTCGTCTCCCGCCGCTGCCACTTTTCCTGGAGCTGCTTGCACAGGCGGCGCAGCAGCTCAAAGGTGCCGCCCAGGGCTCGCAGTAGCTACTAAATCCGGCCGGCGCTCTCCTGTCGCGCACTGTAGCGCGGCTCGGCGGGCATCATGGTGTCCGTGACCAGCTCGTTGGGTGCCTCCAAAACGCCCTTTGCGTGGGCAGCCGCCGTATCGCAATCGGTGCGGCGTGAGATCAGCAGTCGGATGTCCGTATGCAGGCACAATCGTCCCGAGCGAGATGTCTGGAACCTAGTGATGGAAAAACGTTGTTAGTTTGGTAGAATAGCTTGAGGAAGTACATTTAAATAGATTTTACACGCTGCCGCTCCATCGTTTACAACCACTTGGAAAAGTATGTAAAAGACTTGTAGAAAAGTTGCAGAATCATCGATTTTACAGGCTACTGCTGCATCGTTTAAAACCACTTCAAAAAGTATGTAAAAAACGTGTAGTAAACTTTGCAGCTTCATGGATTTTACATACGGCTGCTGCATCGTTTATAGCCACTTCAAAAATTATGTAAAATGTAGGTAGTAAACGGCTCAGCTTGATGGATTTTACATGCGGCCGCTGCATCGTTTTCAACTACTTCAAAAAGTTATGTAAAATCCAGTTTGCTACAGCTTCATCGATTTTTCAGGCTGCCGCTGCATCGTTTACAGCCACTTAAAAAACCCCTTTTACATACCTCAGATGAATGGAGTAGCGCAGTCGCTTCATTTGCTCGGCGCTGATAAAGTGCCCCAGTTTGCTGGTCGTACTAGTGACTGTTGGGCTCCGTGGCATCTTTGGTCCAGCATCCTGCTCCTGGTTGAGCTCCTCGGCCAGAATGCGCTGCCGGATGAAGGTGCGGTGCAGCGGTGGCATGTCCCGCATATCGTAGGGTATCACAAACATCCGCACCACCGTGCCCGCCGGATTCAGCAGTGTGGCCTGCACCGTGCCCGTCCTCGGAACCGAGTAGCCCTTGCGCGGCAGACGAATTTCGCACTGAAAAAAGACATTTTCCATATTCCTTAATTCCATTTTTTCTGCAAAACCTAACTAAACTGAAGGATAAACAAGGTGTTAGGTATTTTCTTTGACGACTGGGACTGGATTTTGAGTGATAAAATCAAACTTTTGTAGTGATTAAAAGTAATTTTTGGTGATTAAATGTAATTTAATCAAATGAAAGCAATATATATGAGTATTTTGACGACTGGGACGGGATTTTGAGTGATAAAATCAAACTTTTGAAGTCATTCAATGTAATTTTTAGTGATTAAATGTAATTTAATCAAATGAAAACAATATACATGAGTATTTTGTGCCCCGTAGTCTCCTCAAGTTTCACTTTAATAATGCAAACTCACCAAATACGGCGTGCTTAGCGTCTCGCCATGCAGTTCGTAGAAGTAGGAAACAGCCGGGATGGTCAGCTGGGTGGGACAAAAGCCTCCAGAGGCTCCCAATTGCAGCTTGAAGCCCATCACCTCGATCTTGGGCATGAGCCTCCTTTGCAACAGTGATTCCTCCAGATTTCCCAGCAGAGGACGTCCTGCGAAATGAGCCGCCAACCTGGCGCGACACTTCAACGGCGATCCACCCGCTGGACTACAAAGACCCGACTCCAGATCCTCATCCGACAGCTGCTCATCGGATCCCAAAGAACTACGATCGCTGCGATCGCTCAAATGACGCGAACGCCGCTTGTGGGCGGCCAGAGCCTGTTTGGCGAATCTGGGCGAAACGGACAGAGAAGCTGCATGTGGCAAAGTGGGAGCAGAGAAGGATTTCTGCACGGGCGGCGTGGCGCTGGCATCCGGAGCCAGCAACTGCGAATGGGCGTGACTCAAAGCAGCGGGATCGAAGCTGAAGGCGGGACAGCCAATGGCAATGGGGGCCGAGCTGCAGAAGATCGTGGTCAGGTTCACTTTAGGCAGGGCCTTGCGCATTTGCGGCGAAACAATGGGTGGCGGCGTCTCGCTCTCCAGCAAACCGGAACCACAATTCAATCGAAGCTGACTCGGTTTCGGTGAGCACTTGCTGCCCTGCTGTTGCTGCTGCAGCGGCACCATTGCATCCGGTTGAAGCTTTGCCGGCACTTGGCTCAGCGGCGTCTTGAACTGCACCACAATGTGCTCGGCCACGCCGGGCGGCGGCGTCTTGCAGCGCTCTGCGGGATTCAGGGAGCAGCGTTCAATATTCGGAGTCAGCTCGGTGGAGGAAATCTATAAAAACAACTCTATTAGTTTAACATATTACAAGAGGAATGTGTCAAAAGCTCACCTGCTTCTCCGCCTCTCTTGCAAAACCATTGCTCTTGTGCTCTCCATTGGTGGCTGCCTTTCCATTGGCAAAGTTGTGCTGCGTCTTCTGGCGCTTGCACACCTGACAGCCACTGCTGGCGGGCGTCACCTTCACCAGATTGTTGTTCTGCCCTCCATTGAGATCTGAGCCCCCTAGATGAGGCTTTCGATTGCGGTTCTTTGGCGTGCGCTGGATGGCCTGGAGTAGAAGCTCCGCCTTGTTGCGCGGTGTGCCCACGATGAGATCGCCGCTACTGAGGCTGCAATGGGAGGTCTCCTCCATTTCGGAGGCTGTTGTATCGCTGTCATCCCCTTCCTCCACCTCTCCAGCTCCATTTTCTGCCCTCCCTCCTCCTTTTCCCGTGCAGCTGAGACAGAGTAGAGTCTTCTCACTGCCGCATTGCTGGCAGCTGCTCAGCGAAGTCTGCGTGCCCGTCGAGATCATGGCTATGCGCCTTGGTTGCTGCAGCGTCAAGGACAGGGATTGGCTATCTGATGGCGAGTGGGACTGCGACTGCGTCTGCGAGTCCTCGCCCTCCTCCATGGGCTCCTCGGTTTGCTGGGGATTACTTTCCCGTTCCGGTGTCGATTTTCTCTCCCTTTTCTTGTCCCTTCGCTGCATTCGCTTGCGATACTTCTGCAGCTGCCTCTCCCGGTGGCTCAAACTCGAATCCCCATCGAGTTCGTCCATTCCTGGCTTTCCATTATCACAGTTGGAGCCGCTGGCCATTGTCGTTGGGGTGAGCGCACTTATCCTGGCTCCCAAACCAGTCGGCGTGGCGGCATGCAGACCACCGCCTCCAGTTGGCGTACTGGCCGGGTCTCCTCCGACTCCTCCGCAGGATCTGCGGCCACGCGGAGCTGGACTAGGCGGCAGTGGCTCCACATGCGGCAGGCCACCATTTATCCTGGGCAAACTGCGCACGCTCACCGAGATGCTGTAGCTCTCCGAAACATTGACGTTGGGAAAATTGTGCACATTGGCCTTGGCACTGAAGCCATCCTCCTGGTGGAGGCCACTATTCCCGCTGCTGGTCGTATGCTGCTTGATCCTGTAGAAGATGTTGAGACGAGGTCTCTTTTGGCCACCACCACAGTTCGGTGTATAGGAGGTGGCCAAATCTCCTGCATTGTTGCCGCAGCCGGAGAAGATTACGCGGCCACTATCGTACACCGAAGGATCGCATTTGCGGAGGAGATCACACCAGGCCACGATCTGCGAGAAGTACAGCTGACTCCTGATGGCGCTGCAAAGCGACGGCAACGTCATAGTGGGTGGAGGAACTCTGTAAAGGAGGGGAAATTATATTAGTTTTGAGTTTGTTGTTCATTTTCACTCAGTCAAGACTTACTTCTCCTTGCCGCTGATGATCCACTGCTCCAGCAAGAGCTTATGGCTCACGGGACCCAGGTAAACCTCGATGCAAACGGGTTCGCGTCTAGCCAGGATGGCCTCCATTTTCATGCAGTACGCCCGCCAACGATTGCACTGGAAAAAAGAGATTTTAAGCGGTAAATATCGTGTGTTAACATATAAACTTAGTAATGGTTAAAAAATGGTTAGACTGAAACAAATCAATAATAATTAAGACTTAATCTGGTTCTAAGATAGCTTTAATTAAGTAATAACAAATTCATTTTGATCTTGAATTTATTTAACGGTTAAACTAACTAACTCTTGGTTAACCAATTTAGGTTTCGTTTACTTATACTTCTGTCTTTAAAAGTCTTTCAGCGACCGTTAAAATCTATAGTAAATTTACTTAAGAACTATGGTAACATATATTTGTTTTCTTTAGTTTGTTCTGATTTGACGGTTAAACTAACTAACTCTTGGTTAAAAAGTTTGATTTTTTCAAACTTATAATTTGGCCTTAAAAAGTATTTCACTGATTATTAAATCTCTAGTAAATTTACTTAATTGTTGTACTTTTTTGTCGGTTAAATTAACTAACTCCTGGTTAAAAAATGTAGGTTTCGTTAGGTTTCTAATCATTACAATCTCTAATAAATTTCCAACTTACGGTCATATTCACGTAGGACATATCACAGATGTGCTCCTCAGCCTCCGACGGCATCTCGCCCTTGGCCAGACCCATCTTCCTGAGGAACTGATCACAGTGCGGCCCGTGTTTGGGCCGCGATGCGGAGCTACTTGCTCCGCTGCTGGCAGTGGCAGTTGCCGTTGTTGTTGGTGTGTTGCTAATGCTCGCTGCTGCAGCTGCTGCTGCTGCTCCTAATCCCAATCCTCGGCCACCAGAGCCACCACCACCCGATCCTGACCATAGAAAGGCCAGATTCAGGGGTCTTGGCTCAACAGGTGGCGGTGCCAGTGCAGGTCCACCTCTTAGACATGTGGTGGCCAGCGATTGCAGCGAGTGGAGGATGTTATCCGACGAATTGGAGCCCGGTGAACTGGCGGCACTGGAGTTGTTGGTTCCACCACCACCCAAGCCACCGGAACTGCTAACCAGACCACCCATTCCTCCAGCACGATTGAGCATGACCCGTCGTACAATCTCGTAGTCGCCGCCGTGATCCTTGTTGAGATCATTGATGGCCAGGGAAACCAACTCCGGTTCGGCGCTCATCGTCTGGGCAGCCGGGGAAATCTGACGCAGCTGGCAGAGCTTCTGCGTCCAGCGCTGGTGGGTTAGGGAACTACTGCTGGGCGACCCGGTCGATCCACTTCCATTGCCAGCAGCTCTATTCTCCGATCCTCCCATGGAACCATAGGGATTCGTTGTGATGTTGATGGCTGCCCGAGAAGTGGAGGGGCGTGGCGAGAGGCGTCCCGCCGCTGCTGCTCCGGATCCCACCTGTTGCTGTTGCTGCTGCTGCTGCTGATACTCATCGTCTGCAATTGGTCTGCCCTCGAGGATTAGCGAGGCCAGGCCCAGCACAACGGAGCTATAGTTGTTCTGAGCCCCCACTCCCACTCCTCCTGCTCCTGTGGACATTCCTCCTCCAGAGATCCCCAAACCGGACAGCATCCCTCCTCCGCCCGCCGCCGTTGCCGAGCCCAAGGAGGCAGATGCTCCATTCTGGCCCAATCCCGCTGGCGGCGGCGAGTTGGTGACGCTGGTGGGTATCATGGTCGGTCGGTTGGTTGCCTGTCCGTTGGATCTGAAGCTGTTTCCGGTTCCGATTCCTCCGATTCCTCTAGCTATTGCTGCTGCTGCTTCTTGCACCAGAAGTACACTGCAAAATGAGAAGAGGGGATAGTTTTAAAGATTTATTTTAAAAATATTATAAAATGGAAAATAGATATTTTTTTATTCTAAGTTGAATACCTAATAGGTATTACCTATATATTATTTTCTCAAGATTTTAGTATTTTTCCTTCCTGAAAAATTCCATACATTTTACCTATTTAAAACCTACTTTTAAATTAAATCAAAGTACCATTCAGAAAAGTAGATATTTAGGTATTTTGATATTTTTTAGATGTTTCGATATTTTTATTCTATGTTTTCTCAAGATATTAGTATTTTCCCTTATTGGAAATTTCAAAATAATTTACCCATTTTAAATTAAATTTTTTTTGTCCAATTAACAAATACATAAAATTAACCAAGTTTGGTAAAAATAATTATTGTTGGAATAGTAACTTTATAAAAAAAAAGTGAGAAGTATTAAAGATTTGGAGGAAATAATATGCAGTAATTAAATTTAAAGTTCGGGTTAAAAAAAGCAAATGTTATATAACTTATTCTGGCCAGTAAAAGTAGTTTGACTTCTAAAAACTGTGACTTACTTAAGTTTAACTTATAGAAGCTTAAAATTATCCCAAACTAGGCTGGCAGACTCCTGTTATGTATCCTTGACTCCATTACGAAATCCGCAAGGCTGCTCTATAAATAAGCCTAGCAACAGATGCAGCTGCCCAGCCACCGCCACCCACTGCAATTGCCGAAGGTCGAATGACGAAAGGAGCACCCTCAACTTGAATCGAATCCCCAAGGTCCGTCCATCCACTATATACTTAGATTTTATGTACAGCTGACATGGTTTACTTTAGTTTATCCTTCCGATGCGGAAGCAACAAAAGGCCAGTACAATTCTCTTGGTCAATTGTTTAACTGCGACACACTGACACGGCCCCATTTTGGCCTGAAATAATCATGTGCAGTGCACATACATACTAATGGGCAAGAAAAAAAGAGCAGAGTTGGAAACCAGGTCGTTACTTAACCGGAGACCCAGTTAGGAGCAACATGTCAGCCGTTTGGAAATGTACAATGCATCAAACACCCCCTTTCCCAACCCCTCAGAAAAAAAACGCACTGGTTGAGAGATCTGCAACAACATGTTGCTAGCGTTGTGACGTCATTGAGCCAAGCTTTGCAAAAGCATGGCATTGGTATTGGTGGGTATCTGTGTGAAACTTTGAAGGTCGTTCTGTGGCACCTTCTATGGGAATGCTCTACAAATATTTATAATTTCTAATAAAAATAATAAATTTCAAAAAAGATTAAATTCAGATAATATTAACACATGTTGTCTGTTAAACTTGGTATTTCTAAAATGTTTTTAACAATTTGAGTTTACTTAATAACATCGTTATATTAATTGATACCTCTAAAAAAAGATGCAAAATAAAGTTTATAAACTTATCAGTAATAATAATTGTAGAATAATTAAATTCTTATTTGTTTTATATTTTGTTTTATTATAATTAGTAAATTACGTATGATTATTATTGCATTTATAGACAAACCTAGGGAAGTGTAAAAAAGCCGTTTCGTACACAAAATCATCTTGCGTTTCGCAATTCTATTTCTGCGCTTGTTTTTATTTTTCCTTTTTTTTTCGTTTGCTAAAACTTTGCTTGGCAACAGCGAAATCGCGATTTGCGAATCGAAAAGCAAAGCCAAATTAAGAGGCAAACATGCAAGTAGTGCACATGTATGCAGCCAGTCGCTTGCAACATGTTGCCAACGTCTCGGTCGAGAGAGCGAGAGCGCGCGCTCTCTTGGGTAAACATGTTTGTCTTTACTTTTGCTTTTGTTTTTGCGTTTCTTCTTGACCTGCATACACAATATATAAGTAGCGCGCGAGACAGACACAGATGCATAAGGCGAATTAAAGAGAGCGAGAGAGCGAGCGAGCTTTGTCCTCTCCCAATGTTTGTGTTAGAAAACATCTGATTTTTGTATTGCTTTGCAATGTTTGCTGTACGTGTGTGTGTTGAGTTTTGTTTATGGCACATTCGCGTTTATATACATAAAATACTCTTGGCCCACAATAGACAACACATACAAACGAGAAAACCCGTATGGAAATGGGGACAAGCGAACGGAACGCCAGAGTTTAATAATATTTCGATTACATTATGGCAAATTTTTTTTATTTCCTCCCTTTCAGCTGTCCATTATCATTTGGCTCTCATCGCAGGCGGAAAACGGCGGAAAATTCGCTATCCATCCGAAAAATGAAAATTTACTCGATGACGCAGTTGGACGAAGCGGGCTACGACTTTCAAGGAAATGTCAGAATATGAAAAACGTGAAAATCGCATGGGACACATTGGGAAATATGTAATTTGACATGTATTTTTTTCTTAAAATATATTTGACTGAGTCAAAAGACGTCATTGCATTTTTTTTGGACAATTTTATTTACGTAAACACTTGGAAGTACTAAAAAAAGTAGTCATATTCCCCAAAACGATTTTGAATATTTATAATAAAGTTTAAATTTAAAATTTTTACAAATTATACATTTTACACTTAAAAAAAATTAAAACTGCTGTATTAATATTAAAAAGGTTTTTGAAATATTTACTAAAACCATATTAACTAAATTCAATTGAAATAATTTATACAATAAAAACAAAATATTTATGTAATTTAGGAATGACAAGCATGAAAAAAAAACCAAATAATTGCTGTACTCTACGATTTTCTATAGACAGTAGCCTTGTAAATAATTACTTGCACTAGGAAATCTTTAATTCTCGCTAAAATAATTGCTTTTTAAGGTAAAAACAGATGCAAAAGTAATTGGCAGCGAATTAAAGAAACAAGCAATTAAGTTGATCAAAAAAAGTTTGTCATATGGTTTTTTTTTCACCTTTTCCCTCCTCGATTGGCACACTCTGTTGTTGATTATTTTCTGCACTTCTTGGCAAAGCGATCGAGAGCAGGTTGAAAAGGGGCTGGTGAAGGGGTGGCCCAAGAGGGTGGGCAGGGGGCGCATTGTTGGACTAATTTCATTTAGCTCGGCCACCGTCCTTGGCATGCTTTTTGATTTTGCAACGCGCGCTGCATTTGTGTTCGTAGATTGTCTTGCTTGAATTATTTATTTATTGCACATTTTCGTTTCATTTGATTTTTTCTCATTTATTATTACGTGTTTTTCTCTTTTTTTGACGCACATTACAAAATTTGATTACCAAGCGGAAAATGCAGGCGCGGCGAATTGCAAAAGGAAAACGAATGGTGGAACGGGAAATAAAATCGAAAATGAAGTTTTTATACGCTTTTCTCAGAAATGTTTTCTGGTTAAAACTACAAAAAAGATAAACATTCAAAAGTTAAACAACGATTTTTGAGTTTTTCTTTAATTTCTTTGTTATTACATATTTTGTAGATCACAAAAAAATTCAATTTTAAAGTATGTTGTAAACATTTCTAAGAATAACCCTATTTTAAATGATTCCTAAGTTTCATAGTAATACGTTTTCAAGAAAAAGATACAAATCTTAAAAACAGTCAATATAGTGCCCTCTCTGTGAGGGTATAAAAACCGAATACCGAATACAAATTTCTAAGGCGCGCCAAGTGGAGTGAAAGGCAGGTAACGAAAACCACCACCAGGGGCGCTGCAGAAAAAAAACACAATAAATAACCAGTTCAAAGCAGATAAAAAAAAGAAAAACGACCGCGAGTGGAAAATTGTTATGTTGCTACTTTTCAAAAAAACAAGTTCCGTTCGCCTTTCGCTTGTTTCGGGGTTTCCTTTTCTGCGTCCCCCTTTTTCGGCATTATGAAATCAAAAATGAAAAAAAAAACAGTTAACACGTGAGTGCAACGAAAGCCACAAACAAAGAAAACGTATTTTATTTGCCTTTAACATCATCTTATAAGATTGTGTTTCACTTTAGTCATCTCGGCGAATGCGTCAGCGTAAAGTTTAATTATACTTATTCTCGTTAGCTGCAGAAGTTCGTTAAGTGGAGGATGTGTCATCTAAAACGGAAGTCGAGTTGTACCGAGGTTGTTGAGATCGAGTGGAAATGTCTGTCAGAAAATGTTATATCTTATCCTATCTATACCATTCTTAAAATACCTTAGGATACATTTTTTATTCGTTATATCTAACAATTACGAATAACCAAATAGGATATAATTTGATTTTAATAAAATTATAAATTGTGACTTAAAGCTGTTTACTTAGGTTTCCTGATATAATACAACCATTAAAAAAAAGCACAATAACTATTTAAATACAATTTTTATAAAGAGCCAACATAATAATCATGCATTCGATTCGATTTTCTGAGAATCATCTTATTAAATTTTCATTTCCCAGGAAGACAGCAAGACAATCGCTTTTCCAAACACTGATTGACCTCGCTGCCGACCTTACTAAAAGCCCATTCTGTGCTTGTGTACGTGTTTCAATACTCATGTGGTGGTGACCCTCCCAATCATAAACCTTCACAGCTGAGCGAGCTTTGGTTTTTTTTTTGTGTTTTCTAGGGGGCCGCACCTTCATCGCATTACATGTAGCCACCCCTTTTATCACCCATCCTCTCTATTTATCTCTGTTTCTCTCCTACGGAACAAAGAAGATGTTGTAGGGTGACTTAAGTTATCAGCGTGGTCATCGGATAGGGAATTGCTTGAAACGGTATATAAAATTCTGAATAACGGAGCCTTTTAAAATCTTCTTCTTAAATATTTATAAACATGTTACCCTTTTAAACTTAATGGTAATAAAGTCAGAAAAAAAATTTGTAGCACCTAACACAATTGACCAAATTGATGTTTTAAAAGATCCGAAAATAAGTTAAGTAAATACCATATGCTTTAAATTACAATTGACCATACATTTCTCACACACGAATCATCACTGTATTCGATATCAAATCCAAAAGCAGTCAAGGTTTTCCTTATTAAATCCCCCTTTACTTACCTTTCAAAACTTTGTTAAAATTCCATTATTTTTTGATTTTGCTGCAATAGAAAAATAAAAGCCAGTTATTAGAAAAGGAAATTCTTGGATAAGCATTCAAAAATAAATTAATTGCACATTAATTTTTGTTTTTTGTTTTACAGAGAGTGAGGCACCCTGATTCTCTTACACAACAAATAAAGTTGAGGTCTTTTCGCCCCTCTCACCCCCTTCCCTTCTTTTTCTTTGTCTCTCTCACCCACATTCCCCTGCTGATGTTCACATGTGCGCAGTAAATAAAAATAAAAACGGAGGCAAAATCAAAGCGAGCAAAAACAAAAAGGCAAAGCAAAAATGTAAACAAACGCAGTCCAGTTATGGTGCTCTTCTTCCCCACGTGTGTGTGAGTGGGTGAGCAAGTGTGTGTAATGTGAGAGCACGTGAGCACATCTCGCTCGCACTTGTGGGGAGTTGGGGCCAGCAACTGGAGTGGGCGACAGAGAGAGCGAACGAGAGGGAGCCAGAACAGGACGAGCACGTTTTTATTTTTAGCCAAAATATTTCTTGCAAATTGAGAGCAAAAAATAAAAAGAACACACGCACTTATGCTCGCGAGAAGCAAATGACCGCAAGACGTACGTGTTAATGCCTTCCTTTAACCCCCATCCTCTTCCGTCTCTTTCGCTCCTCACCGTTTTTTCACTTGATACTTTTCCAACTCCAATTCTTTATTCCGCCTCTCTTTCTGCCGCCCCCCACACCCATTACTCCCTCTCCTTCTTTCATTTACATTTCCAACTGCGCACGTATAAAATTACTATGACAAATGCATGCAAGTGTGTGTGTGGGTCCGAGTTCGTTACATTTCATTTATATATTTTTTGCGCTATCTGAATTGATATAAATTGGTCGAGTGTACGTGTAAAAACCCCCTCAAAACTTTAACCAAAGTTCAATTTTTCAAGAAGAACAGCTGTTGCTATTTATTTTGCTTTTACTTTGGCCTAGCTATTTTCGTTTTTGTTTTGCTTATCTGCCAAAAATAAAAAAACAAAGAAAAAATACTTTCACTTATATAAAAAGCAGGTTCAGAGATAGTGAAAGTTGGCTATTTAATTGTTCTTTCTAAATTCTTAAAATTGCACTTAATATGACCTTAACATTTAATAAAATTGAGTTGCGTACTCGCTATAAAGAATCTATTCTATAAAGAACATTAAATAAATAATTTTGTCCAATTTTTTATTTTCCTAATAAAAAGAACATCATACATTTTATACACAATGTAGATATCTCTTTGTCTCGTAATCCCCCCAACCCCATTTTTCTTATAGATTGGATCTAACAACCCGGACACGTGGGAGGCTTCAAGTATTGCGCATTTTATTCTTACAGATCTTACAGTTTTTTATTACATGACTTCTGCCTATTGTCTTTTCCATTTATTTCCTCACAGCTGATGGAGTCAAACAGGTTACAAAAGAGACACGAATAAAGAAGTTCAAAAGCGGACCTGTGATACATGATAAATGCCCCATGCAAAGCAGCAACAAAAGTGTTGACACACAGCAAATGCAACGCCACAATTAGAAAATGTGTGTCAATTATATTAAAAAAAAAAAAAAACTCGAGTAGTTTTTCCTGACTTCACAACACACAAAAACAACATTTCAGGGAGTGGAAAGATAGAGATAGCGCTAGCTAGGTGACGGAGAGGGGCGGAGAAGGGGCCAGAGAGCATGATTTGAATTGCCTTTTCAGTAAATTATGTGTGTAGCTGTGTGTGTGTGTCAAATAACATCGAAGGGGGCGTCGCATAGTCTCCCAAAGTGCTTCACCTACACAAGTGACCAACTACAGTCCACCATCCATAAGTTCAACTTTACATAACTTCAGAAAAAATCGATGGCAAAAAGGTTTTAAAGTCTAACTTTAAAGGATTGGTTTTAAACAAGGTTTTAATACTCTTTCTCAGTTAAAAACAGCTAGTAATAAAGAATAAAATGTTATTCCATATCCTTTTAGGTTATTTCTCCTTAATTCAAGTTTAACTTTTACGAAAAATCCAATTGAAATTCATAAAATATTTTTACTACTTTTATTTAACTGTATTTAATAGTTTTTTATTATTTATTTAGAGGTTTTTCGAAGTTACACCTGTAAGTTTGCTTTTAGGAAGGCTCAACTGTCTGTGTGAGCGATCTTCAATTATTGGCAACTGTCTGTGTGGGTGGTTGGAGGCGATGGGGTGGGGGTGTGGGTGGGGGGTTGTAGAGCTTCGCCAATTGCGCTGTATTAGTGTTAGTGGATGTGCTCGGGGGCATTACGTCACCAACACATGCGCAGCTAACCAGCTGAGTGGCCACCAACACACTCACACACACACTTGGCACTTAAAGCCATACAATTATTTTGGTTTTTGTGCACCAACCTTTTTTTTTGTAATCGCTGTAAAAACTTTTCGAAAACTTCCTAATTTCGCTGTACTTTTCGATCAGGCTAATTCATAAATTGAAACACAATCAACTGATTTTCATATGTTCATATTTTAGGTATTAACGGCGGCGGATTTTTGTCGCCTTTGATTTTGTTGGATTAATTGGCTTCTAGTCCTGAGGCTGAGAAAATGGCAGTGGCCACATTTTTTTGGGCTTTCGCTTAGCTGCATTTGAATTCGCAACGCTTTTGAACAGCGCGATGTGGGTATATATTTATTTTTTAATGGGGCTTATACAGTCCGCAGTTTCGCAGGTAAACGCGTTTAATATTAGCCAAACAAACTTGTTTGCTTAGATTTTTTGGCCTTTGCTTTTTTCGTATTTCTTTTGGAGAGTCTCTGCACTTCACACACACGCGGCGCAAACACTGGGAAAAAATAGATGTTCCTTTTTTCTCTTGTATTTTATTGGGTTTTATGGATTGTGACGCGTGTGCTCGCTTCAACGTCTCGAAATAAAATGAATGGAAAAAATGAGCGGAGGAGCCAAGCGCTGCGAACCGTTCGCTGCTGCTGACGGCAACTTTCTAAAACAGCTGAGCAGCCAGCCAGCAGTAGCGCTTTGTTTATGTATATACTATATACGCGCGTGTATATACTACATAGGTATCGGTTGGTGTGTATGTATGTATATGCCCCTCGCGGTGGCGGGGAAAACTACGTCGTACATTTGGCTAGTTTTTGTGGGTTTATTTGTTAGGCAACATGTTGCTGGGCTAGCTCAGTGGCAACATGTTGCTGTTGCGCAGGCCAAAAATGTACACAAAAATCATATGGAGCTCACCAATACCAAGGCGAAGTATCGAAAAAAATAAATAAACCCATATGATAAGCCAAGTAAATAGGTAGCTCCCAAAACGACAACTATAAATTACAGTGAACCTTGGGTTATGAGAAGTACAGGATAAGGAACTTAAGTTGCCTTATAATAGAACTTGATTTATAGGATATTTCTGCACTGTTAACCATTTTATTTTACTGTTATGAAACCTTTTACCTTAATTTAGACTGCTTTTCCATTTTAGTGGGGCAAGAGCAAATGTTGTTGCGATAGCGATTCAATAACAAAAGCCACTCACAGATACAGAAAACACGGATACAGACACACACGCAGATTAAACAAAACAAAAAAAAGAGGAAAAGACAGAGATAGAGAACCCGTTTCCATATGTTCGAGATGCCATGTTGTCGAGTGTTGTTTTGCCTTATGTACAAAAATAGCTGTTGGTTCGTTTATATAGCGATATATACTTGGGTACTTGTTGGCAGATTTCTTGAAGAAGAGGAAGAGGTGGAGCACCAAAAAACAACAACAACGCATGCGCTTTTTGAATGTATACGAGCATGTGCGATTATATATCCGTATATAGCAAGCCCCAAAAATCGTCAGCGACCCAGACAACACCAACAACATTCAGAATTTATGTTTGCCTGCTCTCTCTCTCTTTCGCATTCTGATTCCGTCTCGTTTTCTGTCTTTCTCTCTCTTCCTGCTTATCTGTGTCTTTCATTTCCTCTGTTCTCCTACGATGCGAATCTTATCAGCAGAACCCACACACCCGTACATTCTGAATTGTGCTGCTCTTCTCAACTTGCTGATATGATTTGTACTTGATATTCTTTCACAAAGATTTGCCACAAATAAAGTCATTCTGCTTGGAAATTCATTAGGAACTGGAATAACTATGTTAAACCAATCTAAACACTGAACATACATAACAAATTCACTATATTAAAGGTATTTCATTTTTAAATCCTATAACATTTTATTAGAAATTAAAGAAATGAACCAAAATACACCATACATTTTTTATTAACTCCTGGATTCTGCTTAAAATAATATTATAGTAGTGATTATAGTAGTATATTTTATAATTAAATAATATTTTTAATAGCTTTTGAACATTATTTAGATAGCAATTATTCCAAAGAGTTTGTTTTAAAAAAAACTTTTAAACCAACCATCTCCGATTGCACTTTGTATTTGGTAAACGAGAAAAAGATATATTTTTGGCAGCCGAGTTGCATGTAAAGTTGGCTGCATTTCCAAAGTTTCTCTTAACCGTTACCTACTGTAGGTGCCGCAGACACAATCACAGGCGGCACACATCTATATCCACAGATACTTGTCAGGCGTCCGTCTGCAGAAAAAGCGAAGAAGTGAACTCGAGTAACCCAACTGGCTGGAACCGAAGGATACTCAAATACTCAGATACACGGCGACAACAAAGAAGCAGGCAGCCAGACAAAGAAATGGCCAGACCAATGCGAAAGCGAAGACCAGACCAAAGAAGTCTGGGGTCTGGGACGGACTTCATTCGCCATCCTGGCCAAACAGGAAAACAAGAAACTGCTGTTGACCCCCACACCAACCATCCAGACAAAGAATAAACTTAAGTAATGTTTACCAATCCCATCCATATAGTCCATCCCAATAGTACAGTTTAAGTATTATCACCAAATCTAAGGAAAAGTTGTTTCTATAATATAAACTATGATATTATAAAATTGGGAGTTTAAATGTTTAAAGTGTGGACGGTAGATGTCAACCGTCTTACGTCAAAT